CATATTGGATCTAAGAAACAGAGCAATCTTTTCTGGAATACATGGATCGGAATTCATATCTCAAATCTCCTTCATAGAGTATAAAAACTACTCATCGTTAATTTGATTAATTAAGTTGATCATTTGACATAGTTTTAGAGCCAATGTAATAAAATGATTACAAGTTCATATCATTTAGATGGTAATAGCCTAGTAGGCGTAGATATCCATACAAAATTATGAAAAAAGAGATAGGGCATGTTCACTTTAACTTAATTTCATTTCAATTCAGTTCAGTTTAATTCAGTTTAGCTCCTAATTTCATTTTTTCATAAAATATTCATTTCAGCTCTATTCACTTCACTTCACTTCAGTTCAGTTTAGTTTAGTTCAGCTTCAATCAGTTCAGTTTAACTCAGTTCAACTTAGTTCAGTAAATGAGAACAGACCCATAGTCGTACAAAAATAGTTAATAGCCAAATAAAGCGGCTATATGAAAATTTGCAACCATTGGGATGAGCAGCCGCCTAGCATGGAACGAAACCAAATGAAATGATTTGTTATTAGCACAAAAACCATGCATTCATCGGTAATAAGCATATATTAGTAACATTCCCTTTAACTTTTTTACTTTTCTTGTAGTTTAAGCAATTTCTAGGGTGTTACTCCGTATAAGGAGCAAAAGTTTAAGGCCCCGTTCTTTAGAGCTACGTTGCTCTGTTCTGCTTCGCTTTACTCTGCTCTGCTGAAATCTGCTCAGCTCTGCTCTGCTTCAATCTGCTCAGCTCTGCTCTGCTTAAAAATAATAATTAATATTTAATAATAATAAAAAATAATTAATATTTAATAATAATAATTATTATTTAATAATAATAATAATTATTTAATAATAATAATAAATAACATTTAATAATAATAATAATAATAATAAATATTATATAATAATAATAATAATATTAATTAAAAATTAATATTCAATAATAATAATAACTAATATTTAATATTTAATAATAATAATATTAATAATAATTAATATTTAATAATTTTAATTTAATAATAATAATAATTAATACTTAATAATATTAATAACAGTAATAATAATAGTAATTATATAATGATAATAATAGTATTAATACTTATAATTAATAATATTAATTATTATAATAATACTAATTATAATAATTGATTTTTTATAATAAAAATTAATATTTAAAGATAATAACTAATATTTAAATATAATACTAATTATTAATTTTTAATAATAATAATATAAATAATATTTATTAATTTTGAATAATAATAAAAATTTTAACTAAATAATATTTAATAATAATAATAATTATTAGTAATAATAATAATAATTATTAAATAATAATAATAATTATTATTAAATATTAATAATGTTAGTAGTAGTAGTAGTAGTAATAATAATAATAATGAAATCTGCTCTGCTGAAATCTGCTCTGCTTTGCCCAGAAGCTCAAAAGAACAGGGCCTAACACTAGTCTTGCTCTCGTTAAGTCATACTTCTTCTGTTCTCTTTTAATTACGTTTGAACAACTATTCAAAAAAAAAATTACGTTTAAACATGTACATTAAGGGATATAATTAGTTGGTGTAGAATTTATAATCGAGAGTGGGTAATAAGAATAATGAGTGAATTCATTATAGATCGTAAGACGAATTACATAACATAAAATATGAAGCGATTGAGAGTGAGAGAAAGATCGAGAAAGAGATTAATAGAGAAATTTACATCACACATGTTAAGTGAATGAAATTTCTTGTTTTAGGAATAAGAAGTTTTGTATGGATATCCTAGAAAAGATTATACGAAAATATCTGTTTTTATTTTTTTATTTTTTTTAACAATTCTAACTAAATTATTGTATTGACTTACATGAGATGTTATATTTGGCATGTCTAAGAATGTATAGATATTGAAGATAATTTGATCCTTATCTTCTTTTTTCGTTTGAATGTGTTCTTTTTTGATTTTCTACTTCTCTTTTTTGAAATAAAATGAAAAATAGATCTTTTCACTTCAATCACCCTATCATATGAGTATACTATATATTGAATAACACACTCAAATTTCTATAAAATAATTTCTTTACTACCAAAAAAAAAAGTAAAAAAAAAAACCTATTCTCAACAAATTCTCTCTTTTTTTTTTTATTTTTTTTTTAATTTCTTGTAAAAAGAACCGAGAATGAGATTATTACGGAAATAAAATTATTACACTAAAATACTCTAACATTATATATAGAGAATGCCAAGGTTTATCTATATAGATCAACTACTTTATCGAGTAATTATTAACAATGCGCCCAATTTTAAAGAAAAAGTTAATTTATTTATAAAAATGCCATGTGATAAATAAAACTTGTATTTCTTCAAAGATAAACTTATATATCTACTATTATATATGGTTGTATTTTAAAGGAAAAATACACTTTAATAATTCCAACTATGTGCGATTTACCTATAATAATCCCAACTAAGGTTTATTTTTTAATAATCCTAACTATTAGGTTAGTTTTCCTCCTGCAGTCCCAAAAACCGGTTACCTGCTGAAAAAGGTAAATTTTTTTTTGTTTTTTTTAATGCCACATGTCAGCACATGATTGGCTTAATTTAAAAAAAATAAAAAAAAAAACAAAAAACAAAAGAAAAAAGAAAAAAAAAACAGAAATCGAATTCAGCCAACCCAGCTAACCGCCGTTGTTCCTAGACACCCACAGACCACAGCCAATAATCGGAACCGGCCGACCACCTCTCTAACCTCCAAAAAATGGCTGGTCGGCCCTCCTTACCCTCGAAACACACACCCCTGATCGACCCCAACCCCGTAAACCACTCTCCTCCCTTCCAACCCCTTCGCTAGAAAATCGATTCAAACAAAAAGATCAATCATTGCCGCTCCTCCTCCCTTCTTACACCCTCGAAACCACCCATGTGGGTGAATTCGCGGGTTGGGGAAAGAAGGAGGGTCGTTTTTTATGGTGGGAAGGTTGTTTTCGAGGATCGAATTCGGTGGTTTGGGGGGTGGGAATGGGCTGGCGAAGGTGGATTTTATGGTTGGGAAGGGCGGGCCGGCCATTTTCGAGGGTTAGGGAAGACGAATGGCCATTTTTCGAGGGGTTGGGGGTTGGCCCTAGTGTTTTGCGGTGGCACAAGGGAGGGGGTGGTGGCTGTGAGGGTTTTTTGTTTTTTGTTTTTTATAACTATTTATTTTTTCTTTAATTTTTTTAATTTAGACCAATCACGTGCTAACACGTGTAGTGGTACCTGTTACAGCAAGTCATTGACTTGGTGTTGACCGAATGAGTCTATTGGAGGTAAACTCAGGGCATAGTTAGGATTATTAAAAAAAAAAACCTTAGTTGGGATTATTAGAAATAAATCGACAATAGTTGGAATTATTAAAATGTATCTTTCCTATTTTAAAATATTACATTTATTTCGCCAAAAAGTTGAATTAAAGAATCTATAATCAACACGTAATCCGATCTCGGAGTAGATTTCTCAAACAAAGATGATAAAGAAACAAAGCTAGCTATACATATACTACTACTATATATGAAGTTATAGATCTTTCATAAGAAATATATAAAATAAAGATAAAAAGAGGGATGTAAAAGAGACATGAACATTAATTGTAGCTTAACATGTTCATCTGTAATACGGTTGTCCATCTTAGATCTCAATTAAAAACCACTAAAATTTCAGTCTTTGCCTTCGACTTAGCAAACTAATTCCTCTATATGCGACCATTATCACTACTAGGATGTAACAACAAACCTTAATTAGCATAATTAGAATCTCTAAATTAGCATTTTACAGGAGATAATGTAAAGTCTTATTCACGTAATATCCAAGCAAAGCAACATTTAATTATTTAGTAGTTTCTAAACTTGGGTGCACAAGTCTAATAATACAATACACTATGTTTTAGTTGATCAAGGATGATTAAAGTCTTGGCATAAAGAGAAATTGTTGTGTAATCTTCTTTTTAATTAGGAGTGCCACATAAGCTTACTTCATGTTATAAAGAATTTCAAAAGCGGTGAGTTATTTATGTATTTTTGTTATAGGGAACCCAATTGATGGGATAAGAGAAATCTATCAAATGATTCTCATAAGATTTGATCTCTAGACCACAAGGATCTAAGGTGAGGAGATATGCGAACTAAATTTCTTTGCTTATAGTTATACAATCATTATAGTTTTATAGATGGTCTTGTGTTGAGAAGTCAGAATTAGATGGATCATTCATCTTACCTAATGTATTTCTATAAAAATCTAACACCTAGTGTGAAGAATTTACGTAGATTCTACAAGGGGAAAAAACTAAAAAGGTTTGGCTAGCCTCTCCATTTGGTTCTTCAACATAAGACCTTTTGATTTATGCGCAACCTTAATCTCAAAAGTTTTTATAAAGAGAGTCAAAAATTCTAGGTAAGATATCAAGTTGTGAAAATCACAACTAAGGATGTTAATTTGCTGACGAGTTGAACATAAGCTATTCGTTACTCGGCTTGCAACACTAGCAATCGAGCTCAGGCTTTAAAATTAAAGTTCAATTTCATAAGTCGAGTTGAACTTAAGCTAGTGGTTGCTCGGCTTGCAATCGAGCTCAGGCTTCAAACTTAAAGATCATTTTAACTCAATAGCCATGTAAATACACCATATTTTTAATTTCTTTAAAATGAAATGATTAAACTGAATCAAAGAATGATTAAAAGCACCTTCTAATGGCAGGTGCTATAAAATCATAATGCAACAACAAGTATATAATGTTAATTATACATTTTAATATATAAATACCATATAAATAAGTATATAAATTTACGAAATAAAATTCAGATACAATACTTATTTGTATACGACAATAATACATCTAAACAACTTGAATAGAAGAATTTCTATATATACATTGTATAATATTATGGTATAATATTATGAGTACAAGAATATTTTTTGAATTATTAAATGTTTAATAAAATTCTTTGAGCTCTTCTATGAGAAGTTAATTCACATGCTAGTCTCATGCATCTCTTAAGGCAATCTTCCCCTTATTTAAACCCCCCTTACCACCTCCCCCATTCTCACTACACCCATTTCTCCAACCAAGCAATTAACCATCTCTCTCCCTCTCTTTCTCTCTCTAAAACTCATTCGCGCTTTCTCTCTCCTCTTATTATTGCTAATACATCTCCTTTAGTCCTTTGATATACAAACAACCTAACTAATACTTCAACTCTACTAATAATTATATTACCATAATGAATCCGGTGAGCAATGCCGCTTTCATAGCCAAAACCACCTCGGCCAACCACGAAGAATTCTTCGCTAAGCGATGTGTGTGGGTGAATGGGCCGGTGGTAGTTGGTGCTGGACCTTCGGGTTTAGCAGTGGCTGCAGGGCTTAAGGAACAAGGCGTCCCCTTTATCGTGCTTGAGCGAGCCAACTGCATTGCTTCACTATGGCAAACACGTACCTATAACCGCCTTAAGCTTCACCTTCCTAAGCAATTCTGTCAACTTCCTAATTTCCCTTTCCCTGATAACTACCCTGAGTACCCTTCAAAAGACCAATTCATAAACTACCTTGAGTCTTACGCTAAGAAATTCGACATACAGCCTCAGTTCAATGAGTCAGTGCAATCTGCTGAGTATGATGAAACATGTGGTCTTTGGAGGATTAAGACCGCTTTGGGTGCTGATAACTGCACCAACAAGCGCGAGGTTGAGTATATATGCCGGTGGATTGTGGTTGCCACCGGCGAAAATGCTGAGAAGGTTGTCCCTAAGTTTTTTGGGTTCCATGAATTTGGTGGTGATATTATCCATGCATGTGAGTACAAATCTGGTGAGCAATACCGCGGCAAAAAAGTTATGGTTGTAGGGTGTGGAAATTCGGGCATGGAAGTTTCTCTTGATCTTTGTAACCATGATGTTCAACCCTTACTATGTGTTCGTAGCTCGGTAAGAACATAAACTTAAAAAAAAAAAAAAAAAAATAACAAAATAATAAAAAAAAAAAAATAACAAAATAATAAAAAAATAAAAAAATAAAAAATAAAAAAACCTATGAATTTTTAAGAAAAATATGCGTTAGGCTTAAACTGACCAAGTAAAATTTATTTGATTCTCAACAGGTTCATGTACTGCCTAAAGATGTTCTGGGGAAATCGACATTCGAGTTGGCAATGACACTCTTGAGGTGGTTTTCTCTTCGTACAGTTGATAAGATACTGCTGTTTCTAGCAAGTTTATTGCTCGGAAACACAGACAACTACGGTCTAAAAAGGCCGGAAGTTGGTCCAATGGAGCTGAAACAAACAGAAGGAAAGACCCCAGTGTTGGACCTTGGTACATTTGGTAAAATCAGATCAGGACAGATTAAGGTTGTTCCTGGTATCAAGAGATTTGCCAGAGGTAAAGTCGCCTTTGTCGATGGAGAGATTCGTGAGATCGATTCCGTTATCCTCGCTACTGGGTACCGCAGCAACGTTCCCCTATGGCTAAAGGTGAGGATCAAAATTCATACTAGTCAATTTTTTATAAGATTTTTTCATGTCTGGTATTTCTTTGACAGTTCAGAAAACTAAGATTTTCTTGGATTTTTTTCTCCTTTCTTTAAACTGTTAGTTATCATAGGATAAAAACAGAGGCTGCTATATTTTCCTCTTCTTTTTTGCACTTACATTTTGTCTTTCATAAAAATAAATTCTTATTTTTTTTAACTAGTAGATCTGAGTTTCAATGAAAATTAAAAATGATATAAAAATGACTGCCAGTTTGGATCTTAAAATCAAGGGAATAAAATTAATGGTGGTTTTGTCAAACATTTAAATAATGACCTTAGCCATGTAACTTAAGCACCCCAACCGTAGGATGTTGGAGTCTTGTCTGGTTTGACTTTACAGAAGTTATTACAGCATTTTTCTGAAGAATTGTCAACTGACTTCTTTTTTCATTCTTGCTTCTTTAGGAAAGTGATTTCTTTACCAAAAATGGATTCCCGAAAGCGCCATTCCCCAATGGCTGGAAGGGAAATGCCGGATTATACGCAGCCGGGTTCACAAAACGAGGATTATCCGGAGCATCAGAAGATGCCATTAGAGTAGCAGAAGACATTGGAAAAATCTGGAAAGAAGAAACCAAGCAAAAGAAGCCTCCTGCTGCTTGTCACAGGCGGTGTATTTCGCAGTTTTAAGATAAACAGCAACAAATACAACTAAAATTTGCGAAACTAAACATTGTTCAGATAACTTCAAATTCTTTTTTTTACTTCTTTTTTGTGGATTTTTGTCTGATTTAGGCAGTTGTTCAGTTCTGATAAAACTACACAAATCAGGTTGCATAGACATTTTATTTAATTAGGAACACAAAGATCACAAAGCAGCCCTCTTCCTTAAAAGATCCCAGTCTCTAAATATTAGGGGCACCTTTTTGTATAGAGGAAGATGAGGCTTTTTACTTTTTTTATTTTTATTTTTTTCTCTTTACTGTGTGAAATACCTTGGTGTAACAATGAAAAAAAATATAATCAAATTTATAATTGCCTCTTATACATATATTTATTGGAGAACTTCATTTCTATCAGATTCTTGATGATCAGATTTTGACAGTATCAGACATTCAGACTAAGAACTGACTTGACATGATTGACCGAACTCAATTATCAATGTTAAAACTAAATTGTAACCAAAATTACATGTAACAACGATTATGACTCAAATTGAAAACTCATGTTACCAACACTGATTATTTATTAATTGATTATCATACTAGCCTAGATATACTATCTTGACTCCAACTGACCTGAAAATGACCTGAATTAACTAAGCTCCAAACCAGACATTACTATCATCGAGCAACTTATCTTCTTAACCAGACGAAAAAGAATAACAACACTAAAATTTTACAGTGTACAAGTGGGTAGAAGCTTCAAAGATAGATATGAACAGCTTGGACATGAATGCAACTAAAGATGGGCAATACCTGAACAGAAGGGGGGCCGGCCCGTTTCGTTCAGTAAGACCCATGGTTATTCAGTACCTTAGAAAGACTGTCAGTTCAAGCTTGATAGTGATCTTAAGGTGGAAACCAAGCAAACACTAGGGTAGTAATGTCTCTGATGTTGCATATCACATGCTACAGAGCCCACCAAAGTTTTTTGACATTCATCTATGGACAGTCCCAAGTGCAGAAAATTTCCCATTGTCAGAAAGTGATGCAGCTGATTCAGAATTCCCACCTGCTATTTACATTTTATGCATTCCATTCCCCACCTGTCTCTAAAAATAGAATGTTTTTCACCTCCCTATAGTCGACCGAAACAAGAAAAATCATCAATTTCGTGTTTATGAGGAAGTCAGTACACAGGTAAATAAATGCAGATAGAATTTAAACTCAAGGTATGGGGTATAAATTTCTGAAGGCCATATATATCATTCTGGGTGTTAATCATTTCAGTTGTAAAATTTCCTATTTGATTAAAACTGATGTACTCGGATTCCACCTCATCCTGAAGAAGTTGTCGACTAAAGAATGAAAATCATCCCCTTTCCATACTCGCACTCAGGCTCACAGCGAAATCTCTCAATCTAGAAGTTATACTCCGTATATGACTTCAGAAGTAGGAGCGCTTATCAGATGCACCTTTAAACTTTTCTAGAAACTGACTAATTAAATGACGTAGCATAATTATATTAATGCATTTGTCATAGACTCTACAATAACAGCAAACAGAGCCATTTGTATTGTCGATACACAAACTCCTGAGGCTACCTTGATCAGTCAACACCAGGGAAATAAGACCATTTTAATTAGGAAGCTCCATGGTAAATTGATTAATGTACAAGGATTTTCAAAAAAATATTTAAGCAACCCCAAACAATTTTTACCAATCAAGTTGCCCAACAACAATAAATTTGAGTATGGACTAACGTTAAAACCTTTATTTCACCTCAATTATTTATAACAGATCTTTGATACTATGACATGGGAAAGAATAATTGACAATTCAATATAGACCCAAATCATTATCATAAAATAGCCTAGTCTAACACTTGGACACTGACTCGTGTCTAACACAAGTAGCCAAGTACAGATAAAACAAGCACCGACTTCATACTACGGTTTTCAAACCTAAAGCTCACAGTTTATCAGTCAACAGACCAACAGAAGCTTCTCAAACCTCCAGTGAATGGTGTAAATACATCAGCCACTAAGATCTTTTCACCGACGTCACTCCTCATCCACAATTCCTCACTTCTGAAAACAGAAAATTCCATGTTTTGTCCCATATTCCCAGAAAACGCCAATAACAGTATATAATAAATACTCCTATAATCAGTTTAACCGTCAGCCAACAAATATAATACAATCAAAATTATTCTTCTTTATTGTACAGACTTTACTTTAAATGATTACAAAAAAAGGTAAACAAAGAAGAAGAAGAAACAACAGAAGACAGAAAATAAAAATGAATAAATTAATTTTAAAAAAGGGCAGTGTAGAAATAAAAGAACCCACATGAGACCCATGCTGTTTGACTCAAATCTGCAGAAGAGTTCATTCCATGTCTCCCTTCACAATCCTTTTACCACGACACATTCAAAACTTTGTCATAAAAATAAATGCTGAATTATAAACTTTGAATCTTCTATCTCTAATGTCATCTAGTGCTTTCAGCTGCAGGTTATATGTATATATCAGGAAAGGACAAAAGGCAATCTTTGACAATCAATTCTTCTTAACCAACTCTTTCTCAACGAGGTTTAATAATTCTTACGAAATGATAGGATTCTACATTTAAGTTATTGTTATGAACGAGAACATATGGCTAGGAACACTGGCTAAGCTAATAGCATTAGATAATCAATAAGCTTAATGATTGATTCAACAAACAAATCGCCTTCTGTGAGGAGGGCTTGGACTCTAGAGGAGAGAGTGGCTGGAAAAAAGTTTTTACCTAAGTCTTCAGTACAACATAAGAGAATCTACTAGCTAAGCAAGTCTATCCAAATGTCATAGCATGCACAAGACAAGTTGACAACATTTGAGCAATGACCATTGATAAGTTCAATGGATTGCATAAGGAACAAATCCTACCAAAACCAGAAATTATATACAAATGCTGAATATTTCAATCTCCTACATCAAAAGTTGGCAACACTAATACCTATTTTGTTCAATAATGAAGTCTCTACCTAGTCTTCTTGGTTAAGGTCCAAGGTACATTGGCATTCGGTTCAACATCTGCTGCTGAAAAGATGTTGGAGTATAGCCAATAACTACAAATTTAAAGATTTTGGGATTTTTGACACTAGGGTACTTTTCAAATTGTTATAGTTCCTCTGTTTATTTATTTAAATCACAGCATTTAAAATTTTATACTATTCATAGACACTCGGTTGATTGCCTTTGTGATTTATACATTGGAAAAGATAGTCATGTGGAAACTTGTTATATTCATCCCAAAATATGTTTTCATAATATCAAATTTTTTCTAACTTTTACTACAACACAATTTAAAATATTTAAATTAAAAAAAAATGAGTACTGCCATGCTTGGAAATCTCTTATGTTACGATAAAAAAAAAAAAAAAAGGAAGTATTATTGTAAAACAAATTGAATTTGTCTTAAATATCAAATTGTACACCCAAACAACAAATCACTGATTAAGAACAACTAAATATGCCATACAGTTCTACAAACTCTGCTACCTTAAAAAGCAATCCTCTAAAATCTATCAAATTTCATGCTGAAGCTTGGTAGAACATTGGCACATGATACATCTCTCAACAGTGTATTAGAAATTCTTCAATTCTTTTCCTCTATTTCCTAATTTCAGGATTTGACACCTAAGCTAGCAAAACAACAAAATCTCAACCTCCCAGTTTTTTCCCCTTCATGCAATCCCAACCATTCATCTAAGAAGTGGACCAACCATACTTTACATCCCATCTCCTCGGCCTCACCCCAACTGAAATCAGCTCCGATTCTTCAAAAATAATAGAGACAAACTTGAAGCCAGCTGATGCAAAATCTCTTCTGATTATAGAGACATAGGCATGTAAAGAACTGAATTGGAAAAACGGTCTGTTTTGAAGCATTTAGGGTTGGAAATGGAATATGTCATGTCAATAAGACAATGCTCATTTGACTAAGATGAGACTATGCAATGGGAATATGTGACTAAAACTCTTATTCCCGTGTTTTTGACAGCAGGGAATGCCCAGAACTAGAGCTAGCAATCTAACAATCAAAGGACAATCTTGCTATTGATGAAAAGAGGGATGGTGAGTATTGGTAGGAGTAGCTTGAATAACATCATAAATCCCTTGTAAGGTAGCTTTTGAAACGTCTGTTTCTAAACTGCATGCACGAATAATTATGCCACAATGGGAAATCAAAGTGTTTCACCTAGATGGTGTTTCCTTCATACTGAAAGGTTTCTTCTCTAGTCATATAGCACATCAATGGCAGGCACATACGCGTTAGCACATCAATGGAGTTGTATGGGCAAGTCTCTTATTGTTGGTAACTAGATAAGCCCAGCTCTTAATGTTCTCTATTGGTTTGTATTCTGTAGTCTGTTTATATGCTTTTAGCCTGTTTATATGCTTTAGCCTATTAGTATTCTTTAGTCTGCCTTTACAATTAGCTTGTAGCTTTGCATATAAATTCTTTTGTATCAAAGCATTCAGCAACAGCAATTACATAAACAATTTATCACAGGGGCAAAGCCAGGATTAACAAAACAAATCCCATGGGCCAGTTGATACTTTAATTAATAAAATATAAATGTAAAAGCAATTGAGTATTACTATCAATCATACTTTGTGATCTTTAATAGCAGTATTAATATTAATTAGAAAATCTGTACAATTTTTTTTTTCCATATATTAAAAAAAAATTGTACAAGTATGTTTATAGTCTACGATATTATCTCCATTCATATTTTCTTGTGTTGCTAGCCATAAAAGATGTGATAACCTAGTTATTAAGAAAGATAATTATACAAATTAAATAACATACAATGTGAAGAGTGTAGTTTAGTAATTATCAGTAAGTAATCAAAGGGTAGAATGGTAGCATAGGAAAAAATAACAATATCAATAAGCAATCACTTTTGTTAACTACATAGCTTTTTGGAGCCACCAAGCTCTAAGAGGGAAAGTTAAAAATAAAAATAAATAAATAAATAAATATTGGTTATATTGAGGAGATTCAAACCTAGGATCTAGGAGATTGAAGCTTCAATTCTTAAAAATAGTACCATTGAAGCAACTGCAACCCAATATAAAATAGTTGACTGACTAAAATGATATATATACAAAATTTTATAGAGGTATA